CCCTGTCATAAAATGGTGAAAAATGGCATACAATTAAGCTTAGCTGCAGAAATTTTAGTACTACACAAAATTAAGAGTTTAATAGCTCTAAGAACACTACTATTCGGACCGAAGCCAGGTTGTGATCAGAGTCGTGCGAGATTGATAATCCTACTATAGGTACTAATCTATTTAAGCAATCTGTTTGTTAGTTCAGAACTCTAAGCTTTCACATTTCATTTAACATAGATACCTATAAAGGAGAGCATCATGAAGAAGAAAACAGAGGAAGTTGTCATCGATGGATGTCCCAGAAAACCTCCTAGATCCAGAAAGAGGAAAAGCTCATATGACAATAACGACACCTGCAATGGAAAATCTGTAAAGGTAAATAAAAAAAAATCACTTAGATTCAAACTCGTTATAACAAGTTACATAATGGATGAACTTTTTAACCCGTGATGTCATTATCAGGGGATGAGCGTTGATAATCACATAGTAGATGGTGCAGAGGATCCTAAAACAACCAAAACCAGAAAAACGAGAAAACTAAGATCATCAACTCAAACAATCAAAAAGCCTTCCAACACGAAAACTGAAGCATGTGTACCAGTAAGAACAATTTTTAGCAGAATCTTTGATGCTGTTAACAACATAAATACAAGCTGTGGAAGGGCTACGAGTTTGAAACGCGTCGATATTAATGGTTCCCCATTGTTTACAAAACCGACTTTCCAAGGTACTAAGTATTTCTTTCATGGCTTATAATTTAACTCATTGGCTTCACCGTTTATAACTTACGTAGTTTGGACTGTGTAGTAATACCTGATTGATTCATTTCGTCTGAAACAGTGCCTGATAGAACTCCAGTAAGTGCTGTCACACTGAACAGTCAAAAGCGAACCACACGTGGTCGGAAGTTGATGCGAGATCTTTCCAGCCTGCAAACAATTGAGACGGAAACAAAAGTACCATCTTCTAAACGCAAACCTAGAGGAAAAATAAAACATACTGATGAGACTACTATTGAAGATAGACCACATAATTTCCCAGATTTGTTGGTATCTTCGGAAGGCAAGTTTATTTCTGGTTTGAGTATTGTTTTCCAATAGTTTGGTGGTGAATTCAAAAATTATCTAAACTATGACATTTTGTTATTTTGTAGATGATGATGGAGATTATGACCATATTTTCAGTGTAGTAGCCCAGAAACCACGGAAGATGAGTTATCAAATGATGAATCAAGTTGTTCTAGAGACAAACCTTCAGGATGTGTTCAGCCTCAACCGGAATTCGCAGAGGTTAGATCCAAGAATCCACGAAAGCCGTGTGTCCAAGCTGAAACTAAGAAACAACCAAAATCGACAAAAGGAACCAGAGGGAGGAAAGTGAAAACAAAGGAACCATTAAAACTTGGTAATTAATAGTCTATCTTTGTATTGGTAGTTTCTAATTTTGATGTTACACTAAGTTTCTGGTGATTTTGGATTGTCCCGTACAGAATATAATGATGAGGGTGATATGACATATCGTTGCACTCACTGTGATGCTAAGTTTTGGTATGGTGAACGTATCAACAAGAAGAAGAGGTCACGCAATCCAGTCTTCACGCTTTGCTGTATGCAGGGACAAGTAACGTTGCCGTTGCTAAAGGATCCTCCTCCTGAAATTAAAAATTTGATTTATGGAGATGATGAATTAAGCCGACATTATCAGAAGCACATCAGGCCTTACAGCATGCTTTTTTCCTTCACTTCAATGGGTGGAAGAGTTGATCGTTCTGTAAAAAAAGGGAGGGGTCCACAAATGTTTCAGTTGCACGGAGAGAATTACCATTTAATGGGCAGCATGATTCCACAACCTGGAGATTATGCAAAATTCTATCAGATGTATATTGTTGACATGGAGAATGAGATCGAAAATAGACTCACTTTCCTCAGGTAATTTATATTACATAGTCTATAATTTAATAGTATAGATTCTTGAATCACAAACAGTTTATGTTATCATTAGTACTAACCTGTTATCCTCTCCTTATCCAGCAAGGCTAAAAATGCTAAAGAATCAACTAAGAAGAACCGACTACGGAAGGAAATCATTGAATTGTTCGTCAAGGTCTTAGATGAGCACAACCCGTACGTGAAGACTTTTCGGTCTGCAAGAGAGAGATTCAACACTGACCCTGAGCACAGTTTTCACATGAGGATTATAAGTGATCGTGTTACTGATGGAAGAACTTACAACACTCCTACGGCTTCTGAGGTTGCTGCAATCATTCCCGGAGATTTCAATTTTGACATGGGGAAGAACCGTGATATAATCCTACAAAAACAATCCGGAAAGCTGAGGCGTATTAGCGAGATTCATCCGTCGTATATCCCACTACAATATCCTACGTGTTTTGTTTATGGAGAAGATGGTTTCAGGCTTGGAATTAAGAAAGCAGATTCAGTTTACGGGAAAAAATAAGAAGGAAAACATCTCTGTTAGACAGTTTTTTGCTTTCCGTCTATTTGAAAGAACAAAAGAGTCTAACCATCTCTTACACTCGAGGAGGCTGTTTCAGCAGTACTTGGTCGATACCTACACCATGATTGAGACTAACAGGCTTACCTATCTGCGGATGAACCAGACAAGCTTGAGATCAGACAGTTATGACTCAATCAAACAAGCTGAAGACGCAGGTGTCATTGAAATGGAGGAACAAGGTAATAAGTTTTACTTGCCTGCGTCTTTCACTGGAGGACCAAGGTATATGAGGGAGTTATATTTCGATGCGATGGCGATATGCAGACATTATGGTTTCCCGGATTTGTTCATCACATTTACATGCAATCCTAAATGGCCAGAACTAACCCGAGAGCTTGATGGTACAAATCTGAAACCTACGGATAGAGCTGAACTCATCTGCAGGCTGTATCATATAAAACTAGCGTCACTCATGGAAGACTTGACGGATAATGGACTCCTAGGCCAAACAGTTGCGTGTAAGTTTTGTACCAATCCATCATATTATAAGTAGTAAACTAACAAGTATGTTTTCATTTGATTTCTGCACAATTATTATTCCTATGATTCACGATCACTTCTTTTAACAATGCAGCAATGTATACAACAGAATTTCAAAAACGAGGACTGCCACATGCTCACATTCTTCTGTTTATGCATCAGAAGTGCAAGTTTCCAACTACGGATGATATCGATAAGATTATATCAGCAGAGATACCAGATAAGGTGGAGGAGCCAGAACTATATGAAGTTGTGAAGGATATGATGATTCACGGTCCTTGCGGTAATGTGAACATAAACTCACCATGTATGGAAAATGGAAAATGTCAAAAGCTATTCCCGAAAGCTCATGCAGAGAGAACCAAGATAAGCAAAGATGGCTTCCCAATATACAGGAGACGGGACCAGCCAGGTGTGTTTATCGAGAAGAATGGTTTCAAGTGTGACAACCGATACGTGATTCCATATAACAGAGCTCTGTCCATCCGTTACAAAGCTCACATCAATGTAGAATGGTGTAACCAGTCAGCTGCTATTAAATACTTATTTAAGTATATCAACAAGGGATCAGATCGTGTTGCTGTCGTTGTTGAGTCAGCTGAGCAGGCCACACTTGGTGAAGAAGCACGGCAGAAAAAGAAAAATGGGAGATCTACTAATGGAGCTAAGCAGACTGAAGATAGTTCTGAGTCCACTGAGAAGGTTGAGCAGGTTAACGAGATTAAAGACTTTTTGATTGCCGGTAAGATGTTCCATCAAATCTTAATATACTCTGTTTCCTTTTGAACATTTATGAATGAATTTTGAGGTTAGACACCGTTTTCTGAAATCAAGTTTTGAAACGTTTTGTGAAGGTTTGTAGGTGCTACAGAAGCTGTATGGAGAACACTGGGGTTTAAAATACATCATAGATCTGTGTCTGTGGTTAAACTCACTTTTCACTTAGAAGGGAAACAGTTGGTTATCTTCAAAGGGAGGACAAGCTGGAAAGGGTTGTTACACGAAAACTGATCGAGAAGACTATGATGTTAGCTTGGTTTCAGCTGAATTTGGAAAACGAGTTTGCTAGAACGCTAACCTATGTTCAGATTCCAAATTTCTTTGTATATATTGCTAGCGAGAAACGTTGGAAAGAAAGGGAGACAGGTTTTGCAATTGGCAGAATCAACTATGCCCCAAGGAAGATTGAAGATGCTTATTATTGTCGAGTGTTGTTAAATGTTGTCCGTGGTCCCACATGTTTTGACGACATCAAGACATACAATGGAGTGCTATATCCGAGCAACAAGGATGCGTGCTATGCCAGGGTTTGTTAGAGGATGACCAAGAGTACATTGATGACATTCTCAGGAGAAGCTTCACGACTTCTGCAGCTCAACTTCGGCAGTTATTCGTCACCATGCTTAATTCCGACAGTTTAACTTCTCCAGAGCTGGTTTGGAAAAATACTTGGGAGGCTCTTTCAGAGGACTTCCAAATGATTAGAAGACGTGAGCTTAATAGATGATATACCTCTAATTTACCCACTTTTTATACTGTTTTAGCATTGTTTTCTAATGGTTTTTGGCAGGTTTTCTATCTAAAAAGGTAGTTTTACTGTGTTTATAGTGTCTAGAGTCTAAACAGGTGAAATGATGCATTTTGGAGCAAAACCATAGGATTTGCACTTCAAGCAGCTCCATGCACAAGCACCAACTTTAAGAGGGCCCAGAAAAAGATCTACTCAATGGATTTCATCAAGACCAGTTCCCTGCGTGCTCTGATTGAGTTAACTTTCCAACGCAACTGGAATGGCCTAATTTGGATGAGTAGAAAAGGAGTTATAACCAAAAGAGTGAAGACTGTCCAGACGGCTCTATCGAGAATCAGCGCCCAACCGCGCAGTCCGGCTGGCCGAGGAACGAATGTTCCACGCTCGGCCAAATCTCGTCCGTCCGTCTGAAGTCTCGGCCAAAGTCCAAAACCGTCGGCCGATCACGCATCACGACCCGGGAAACATCCCGCGGTCGGCCACGCCACGCCACGACCGCGCACGACCAAACGCGCGAGCCGGGAAAACGCCTCGCGGCCGCGCAACTCATCCGCGTACCACGCCGATGCGCCGTCCGACCCGGGAAACTACGTCCCGCGTCCGGCCGAGATTTCATCGGCCAAATTCACCGTCCGACCACAGCGGCCGACCACGAATCCGTCCGACCCCGACCGTTCCGACTCGGCCACACCCGATTGTCCGGCCGATCGTCCCGCACGACCGTCCCAACGCCGCGGTCGACCCGAAGCCCTTTTTGAAGCCCAAACTTATGTTTTCAAGCCCGGCTTAACCCTAGCCGCCTCTAGAAAGACCTAGCACTATATATATGGATTTTTAGCCTCTTGAGAAAGAGAGCCGCCCTTGTATTTCGATTTCCTACTCTAAGTTTTATTGCAATCATGTTTTCTTCATCTCTATGTGTGTTTGCTTTGATCATGTCTGAGTAATCCACTAGTTAGGTTGCTAGGGTTACTATTCAATGAGTTGCTTGCATGATCTTTGATTTCAATGATTAGCTAGGGATTATATTAGAGTCTTTGTCTCGTCTTGTGCACTTAACTAATGCTGATTGCTTTACCGCGCATCTAGTAATCCGATCTTAGGTTGATTTGAGCCTCGACAGTGCTGTATCATTCGCCGGACATATTCTTTGACAAGCTAGGTTTCTTAGACTGCGAAAGTTGATCTATCTATATCTAGTGAACTGTATCAGAACCTATTCATTCTAATGCTTGATCTAATCACCTAGGGACATACCAAAAGTTTAGCGACTAGGTAGATTAGCAAAGGAGCCGGAGCCTCGAAAGTGGAATGGTTTTATATTCGTGATCTGTGTTCTAGATGGTTCTTAATATCCCAATATCCCTAATCAATTAATCTATCATTGTTTCATTGATCATTGCTTGCTTCTCTGCGATAGCCCCTATGACCTAGCGCTTTTCCTTTATTGCTTACAACCTCGTTATACTTGCTAGTTCGGTTCACCATTACAACCTCAATCATACTTTTGTTTTAGCTTGATCCAAAATCCATAGTTACAAAGTGTACTCAATAGCCAGTCCTTGTGTTCGATACCCATACTTCCGCGATCTGTGCACTTGCAGAGGTCTAGGAGTTTGGTAAAACCTGACTCCGCATCAAGTTTTTGGCGCCGTTGCCGGGGACTGCAGCAGTACCTTTGGAACTCGACTAGGATCTAGTCTAGAACCTTTTCCTGTTTTACTTTTCTTTTGCTTTTGAATTTTCAGTTTTTGATTTCCTTTTCTTTGATTTTTACTTTTGTTTTTGTTTTTCCCTTTTAGATTTAACTTGTTTCCAAGACTCTTTTCAGGTGCATGACTAGGAGGTCCAACAAGGACAACCTAGTTGAACATCCAGAGATAGACAAGCTTGAGAAGCAACTTAGGAAGCAGAAAGCCCAAGAGATGGCCGACGAAGCAGCTCGCGCTCACGCCGCTGAAGTGGCGCGCGCTCAAGAAGAAGGAAGAGATCCACCTCCTCCTCCTCCTAACCCTGCTGGAGATGTGAACGCACAACCCCAAGCTGGAGCACCTACAATCGGAGACTATGACTCTGCCGATGCTTTCTTCATGGATAGAAACCCTATCCATCCACCACCACCTGCAAGGAATGACTATGAGATCAAGCCTCAGATCATTGCATTGGTTAGACAGAACCAATTCAATGGACTTCCAGCTGAGCACCCTCTTGATCACATAGAAAACTTTGAAGAAATTTGCAGCACTACAAGATCCAATGGAGTCTCTGCTGACTACCTTAAGTGCAAGCTCTTTTCATTCTCTCTTGGCGACAAAGCTTCAAGATGGTTGAAGTCTCTGCCAGCTCACTCCATCACCACTTGGGATGAGTACAAGGCTGCATTCATCAACCACTTCTACACCAAACAGAGATCAATTTCTGTGAGAAACAAGATCTCCACTTTCGCCAAGGCAACAATGAGTCTTTCTATGAGGCGCTAGATCGATTCAAGGAGTACATTAGGGACTGCCCTAATCATGGTTTCAATGAGGGAAACCTATGGAACATCTTCTATCGTGGCATAGACCACAAGTACAAGCTTTCATTGGATACAGCAAGCAATGGAAACTTCATGACCAAGACTGTTGATGAAGCTAAGGTTCTTATTGAGAATCTTGCAGCTAGTGATTGTAACAACTGTCCTGATTATGACCGCTCAAGCCGCACCACTACTAGCTCCCCTGATTCTTTTCAAATGACTGAACTCAAGAACATGATGGCTCAAGTTCTTAAGGGACAGCTCAAGCATATCAATGCAATAGAAGGGATGAGTGATGCTAATGAAGATTCATCAAGAGAATGCATGGGAGATTTCTCTAATGAAGCCAATGAAGAAGATGTGAACTACATTGGAAACTATGGGAACAAGGGATACAATCCAAGCTATCGCCCAAACCCCAACATGTCTATAGAAACCCCAATGTGGAGAATCCTCAAGACCAAGTGTATCCTCCAAGGTATCCACAACAACAAAGACCTCCTTACCAATCTCAAGGAAGTCAATTTCAGCCAAGGCAAGGATATGAGCAGAGATCATCATATCCGCCCAAGGAGCCATATGCTTCTTCACCAAATCAAGCTCCTCCAAACCAACAAGGTGGGAGATTTGAAGGAATCCTCCAACAGATCATGGATGGCCAGAAGAGAAACACTAAAGAGATGTATGAGAAGATGGACACTTTGTTCAGCAATCTCAACACCAAGTATGATGCTGTTGCCACTCATGTGAAGAAACTAGAGACTCAAGTCACTCAAACTATGGAAGCTGTTAAGAGACAGGAAGCTGAATCCAAGAAGTCCTTTTGCAACTCAGCCGCCATAGAAGAAAGATTTGAAGACCAAGTTCCAGAATGGATGCTTTCAAAACCTACTGTTGATTGCATGATTTGGCCTGAAGAGAATTACCCAGAGAGAGAGTCCAATCGAGCTAGAAAGAGAAGACTCTTCCCAAAGATTATCCCCAAGACAGATAACTCAGGAAAGTTTGTGTGCCTTGTATCATCAAAGGTAACATTCTTGAGCAATCTTTGTGTGACACAGGAGCCAATGTGAACATCATGTCTAAGAGGATAGCTGACAAGATAGGCCTCACCAAGATAGAGCCATCATCCATCTCCATCAACTATGCTGATTCATTCTCACAAACCCCTATGGCTTTGTGCCTAATGTGATGGTGCAGATTGGAAATTGCTCTATCCCTACTGATTTCCAGATTGTGGAAATGAGAGAGAGTAGCCATAGACCTCTCATATTTGGAACCCCTTTCCTGTCTACTGTGGGTGCCATATTTGATTTCCCCAATCAAAGAATCTCTTTCAACAAGGTGAACAAGGGTATGTTCTTCCCTATGTGTTCAACAAAGAACTCTTTTGTTGACATGGTCCAAGAGGAGAAAGCTACTTTGAAGCCACCCCAAGAAGGAGAAACTGAAGAAACAATCAAGGAAGATCCCATTCCTAAGCCCAAGCAGCTTGCCAAACAAGCAAGGAGTAAGACTAAGGCCCCTACACCAAAACCGCCCAAGGGATCAACCAAGATTGAAGATGAGGCCAAGCCAAGAAGGAAGGTTAGAAAACCTAGGTCTGGCCGCAACATGAAGCTTCTATTCCCAGAGGAGCTTATTGATGAGAATCTAGAAGGATTCAAGGAGAGAGTGACAAGAACTCTAAAGCTTTTTCCTAAGGCAGTAGTGCCAAGGGACATTCATGGAGAGATTGTCTATCCAGCTGTGAATCACCCACCAGATACTCATTGCAAGGAGAAAAGACTTGGAGGATCAAGGATGCCTCTTGTCTCTATCTTCTCCTGAGCGCCAAGCCTTACAGTCAAGCTAAAGACTTAAAACAAGCGCTGCATGGGAGGCAACCCATGAGGTACTTTTACTTTTCTTTCTTTAATTTTCTTAGTTTTTGTTTTGCTTTTGTGTTTTCTTTGTTTTAAGATAGGATAGAAGGAGAAAAAGGTGTGAAAACACAATCCGCGCCAAAACATTGGCCGCGGACGCGCAAAAGGATTTTGGCCGAGCAATTCCATTCTGGCCGACCGTCGGTCGAGCCGGGAAGGAATAGCCGTGCTCGGCCGGATATCTACTTGCGCGACAGAAAACGTTCGAGCGCCACACGCGAACCGGGAAAGAAACGGCGCGATCGGCCGAAATTTTGTATCGGAACGGACCGACCGTGCCGGTCGATCCGGGAAACAAACGCTCGGCCTCGGCCGAAATTCTCTCGGCCAAAACAATTTGGCCGACCAAATCGCTCGACCGCGACAAAATCCATCGGCCATCGGCCCAAAACTTTTCTAGGCCAAGGTAAGTCCCCTTTTCATTAAATTCAAACCGGTTTTAACCAATCTAAACCAACTTAAACCGGTTTTCAATCAAAATTCGAATTTGAAAAGGAAAATTGATAGGATTTAGATCTTATTTACTTCACCTTTCCCTTGAAAACCACAAGAACCTCTCTTTCTTCTCCAAAACCCTAAACTCCATTAGAGGAACTCTAAGAGTTTTGATTTCAAAACTTTTACTGTTCATAACTCTAAATTGGAAATTACTTGCTCTTGCTAACCTTATTCACTTTTCAACACATAAGGTATACCATGGCAAAGACAAAAGGAAATGAGAGTATGAAGAAGAAGAAGAACCCATTCATGGAACCACCAAAGAAGCAAATCAAGCTAGGGAGTAGTAGCTCCAATGCAAGAGCAGAAATACCAACTTCACCACATTCCATTGATTCAAGTCAAGAACATGTGGAGAGTCCAAGAAGAGGAGAAGATGATTGGGCACTTGTAACCTTTGTTGGAGAACAAAATCAAGACCCAAGAAAGTGTAAGAAGGCAATGGAGAAGGTGAACATCGAGCCATGTGTGAAGATGGACACCCAAACCCTTGATCTTCTCAAGATAAGAGATGATGTCACATGGTACATAAGGAAGCTAGGCTTGAGCAAGCTCTTCAAGCTAGAATGTAGTGAGTACTCACAACTCACCAAGGAGTTCCTCTCTACAGTAGCTCTTGCCTTTCCCAACCACAATGGAGACCAACCAGCTGGTGAAGGACTCCTACTCTTCAAGATAGGCGATGCCAATGGGCGCATATCTATCTCAGCTCTATGCAAACTCTTTGGACTTCCCAATGAGACAGCACATGACTTCAAGGAGAACTCAAAGAGGAAACAAGCTGCCTTTGCTGATTGGACACACTTTGCCAATGAACCATTCATGCCTTCAAGGTCAAAGGTGTCTAGAATCACCCATCCAGCCATTCGCTATGTGCACCGCCTCATCTCCACCACTTTCCAATGCAAACAAGAAGCCAACAAGGTCACAACTGATGAGTTCTACATCCTCACCACACCATTCATCAAGCATGAGTACAAGGCCAACCTTGGACTTTTACTTGCCAAGACATTCATCAATGTGAGGAAGCTAGCTAAAGACTTGGAAGGCAACAAGAAGCTTTGTGTTCGTTTTGGGAGGCTTATCACGGCCATAGTACTGCATGTGGGGATTGACATTCCCAACTATGAGCCACTACCCAAGCCAACCCCTTTGGATCTCCATGCTCTTCAGCACATCCACTTCCTAAACCGTTGGACTAAAGACCCAACTCGGTTTTGCTATGAGTTTCCAATTGGTCCAGCCAACACTTCCCTTGTCTTGCTGCCACATGAGGACATCCCAAGCCTACGCTCAGGAGTTGTCACTTTCCAGCCCAATGAGGAAGAGTTCTATGTTCCATCAAGTGAGAAACCATCATTCCCCATGCTCACCTATCGCACACTTCAGCATGCAGTCAAGACTCAACGCCGCTCCAAGAACGCCATGTTCTCACTACTGGCATGGCTGCGCACCAAGCTCTAGACCGTGTTAACAAGCTGGAGAAGATAGTGGAATGCCAATCTCGCTTCATCTCGCGCCTAGTCCGCGTAGTTCGCCACATTGCACCGGAGAGACTCTTTCGCCCTTCTTCCACCGCTAGAGAGCCATATGAGCCTGACCTTGGTGAGTTCTCACTAGACTCAGAGCTTGGTTCAGAAGGCGATGACCCCATAGATGAGGAAGAGAGTTCTTCTCACTGCCACACATAGTCATCTCAAGTGGTACTTAGTGCAATGGACACTTACAAATCTCCATTTTCTATCCCTATCTTATTTTAATGAATTTTTCTTTATTTTTACTTTGAATATTACCTCTCACCTTAATGTGATTTGCTTTCACCGGGACGGTGCAAGTTAAGTCTGGGGGGAGTTTTATTGTGTTACTAATGCATTTTTCTTTCTTTTCTTATGTTTTATTCATTTGTTTCATGTTTTTCAAAAAGTTTTATTGAGTCAAAAACCAGTCCGGAAGTTATGAACTTGCTTTGAGAATTGAGAGTGTTATGCTAACAATCCATGACCCTAGAGCAGAAACCAGCTAAAGGCACAAGCCTAACAGAAGCTCTTACAGTGGATCGACATGCTAGCTCAGCAAAATTTCTAAGGTAACCAAGCAATCTAGAGTTAACCTCACCCTTAATCAATCTTAATACTCTTGTCAAGGGGGTTGGCATACATGTCGACAGTTCCTTGCTTGATTTTCAATGAGATTTGTCTAATCTTTAAAGAGTTCTCCTCTCTCTCCCATCCCAAATGGTAAGTAATATGAGAAAAAGCTCAAAGAGCACAAGGAAAACAAGTAAGCATGAGGAATGCATATGTCTGTACCTTCATGTCTTATGGAATACCTTAGTCAAACAAGGAACAAGCTAAAGACTTATCCTGTGGTTGAAAGAAGGGTCAATAGAAAAAATAAAATGATACCCTAGAAAAGTAGGGAGAAATTGACCTTTCAAAGTTCTGATGTGAGAAAGAGAGAGGAAAAGAACTCATTGCACTTAAAGACAATCTTGGAGAAGATCAAGTGGGTAAGAACAAGTTCAATTGATCGATGTCCCCTTGATAAAGAATTCACGCTTTAAATTTATGCAAGAGGTTAGCAATAGAGAGTTTGGATTGCTGGATGAGACTAGTTGGGTTGGTATTGTTCGCTAAACTTGCAGGGTGTATGTGAAGCTAACCTTATGTTGTCTATGTTCATAGTGGAATACAGGAAAGGAACCTTTCACAGGATATTCAAAAGAGCAAGGGAGTTCCACGTTTTCAAACCTCTTTCACGGATTTAGATTCTTTTTGCTTGGGGACAAGCAAAGATCTAAGTCTGGGGGAGTTGATATACCTCTATTTTACACTTTTTATACTATTTTACTATGTTTTCTAATGGTTTTTGGCAGGTTTTCTATCTAAAAAGGTAGTTTTACTGTGTTTATAGTGTCTAGAGTCTAAACAGGTGAAATGATGCATTTTGGAGCAAAACCATAGGATTTGCACTTCAAGCAGCTCCATGCACAAGCACCAACTTTAAGAGGGCCCAGAAAAAGATCTACTCAATGGATTTCATCAAGACCAGTTCCCTGCGTGCTCTGATTGAGTTAACTTTCCAACGCAACTGGAACGGCCTATTTGGATGAGTAGAAAAGGAGTTATAACCAAAAGAGTGAAGACTGCTCCAGACGGCTCTATCGAGAATCAGCGCCCAACCGCGCAGTCCGGCTGGCCGAGGAACGATGTTCCGCGCTCGGCCAAATCTCGTCCGTCCGTCTGAAGTCTCGGCCAAAGTCCAAACCGTTCGGCCGATCGCAAGTCACGACCCGGGAAACTATTGCCCGCGGTCGGCCACGCCACGCCACGACCGCGCACGACCAAAGCGCGCGAGCCGGGAAACGCCTCGCGGCCGCGCAACTCTCGCGTACCACGCACGAACGCCCGTCCGAGCCGGGGAAACTACGCCCGCGTCCGGCCGAAGATTTCATCGGCCAAGTCTTTCACCCGTCCGACCACAGCGGCCGACCACGCATCCGTCCACCCCGACCGTTCCGACTCGCCACAAGACCCGACTGTCCGGCCGATCGTCCCGCACGACCGTCC